TAAATCTCCCCACTGTATTTTCCACTGCATGCATCCGATGAAGCGAGCTGTAGCTCACGAAAGCTTATACTCAAATAAATTTTGTTAGTCTCTAAGGTGCCACAAGTACTCCTTTTCTTTTTGCTGATACAGACTAACACGGCTGCTACTCTGAAACCTGTATATGCTAAGTTTTTCACACTGGAAGGTTGTACAGCTTTCACTATATAGGTTTGAAACCAGTATAGTTAAAATGGCACAAAAACTGTGTATATACAAGTGCTAAAGGTATTTTCACCTTGGGGATTGGGCCCTATGCTTAAACAGAGTTTCACTTGGGAGAAAGATCAGGGCTCAAAATTTGGAGGAAGGTGAGCTCATTGAGGAGGGGTGGGATGGGAAGAAGGAAGGAAATGTGATGACACAGAAGGGATGGCACTTAGCTTTTGCTGAAGTAGTTTTAAAATATTAAGTGGTAGGTACTGAATGCCCTACATCAAAAGGAAATTCAGTCTATAAACTTACTTTTTGGTTTCCAATTCCATTAAGACTAGACTACAGCCACGCAATGCTGTTATGTCAGTTACCACAGATCACCACTGGACCCTGCACTTTTTTTCTTTTTACATATTTGGAGTGGGTTTAAAAAAAATCAATTTTATAATCTCAATACTAGAAAATAAAACAAATGCAATAAATAATATATGCAAAAATAAACTTCCCTTCCTACCCTAACCACTCTCCAATAGACCGGTTTCACCTCCAGTAACATTCTGTGGCACCTTTTAGGTGCCACATAATGTATGAGTGGGCATCCAAAGAATGAACATTCCCAAACCTAAAAAAGGTTGTTTAAAAGGGTATCCTGACAGGTCAAAAATAATATATTTTTACAAAAACAAATTTCCTTGCCTGTAATAGCAATGATACCTTAAGACTCAGCCCTGCAAATCACCTTGCCCCTGCTGCCCTGCAGAACAACACTGAACTCAGAGGGGCGTGGTGCAGGTGCATCTGTGAACAGTGAACTGTCCAATCAGGATCATCCAGTTCACTCACCTTTCTATTCAATTTCTATGCATTAGCAGATTGCTGCAGTGTTTGAGATGTAAATTTTGCTAAGAATGTTTATTTAAAAAAAATTCTACTGGAGTTTTTTAAATTACATGGAAATATTACTATTGGTCTCAAGTATTGCAAAAGATTATAATTTTATAAAATCTTAATCTTGGACCAACTTTTATCTAATGGAATCCCTCTGGACACTATGCTAAACTTTGAAATGTTTGAAAACCAAAGCCATGATCCTGCAGTGAGCTCCACTGATTTATTTAGCATTTGTGCATTCACAAAGCCAAGCAATAGCGTTCTTAGTGGCCAACTGGCGCTTTCGGAAACCACCACTGAATTTGGTTAGCGGGCATTCCTCGACAATGTATACCATTTGATCTGCATCACAGTTGCAGTGTAGATTGTCTCAAAGACCCCAACAGTGCTGGTTGGCTGTATAGAGTCCTTGCCCAGGTTGGAATCAGTTAAGAAGGACCCATTAACCATGTAGCAGGTCGAAGCTGGAAGGTGAGCAGCAAGGTCTATGATGAGGAACTGGCTGGTGTTAAGCACCAGTCTTCCGCCACAGGGACTCTGTTGTCACATCCTTTCGTGGCAGCCTCACCCACCATGGTGTTGCAAGGAAAGACGTGTAGCTGGTGGGTTAAAAAGGTCATTGAACATACCTTCTCAAGCAGCTCACCAGCTGCAATCTCCCTCCTGCTGTAAGGGGGAGCAATGTGGCTCAGAACTGGAAGTCATGGAAGATGAGTTGGTTGGAGAGTTCCTGTGATGATGCGCATTGTTGAGTTGCACGTCAACAAGTTTGGTGTGTGTACATATTGGCGCACAGTATTCTGTTACTAAATACAAGACTGCAAGGGCTGAGGTTCTTCGTGTTTGAGCACCTGCTCCCCATAAAGAACCAGACAGTTTGCTGAGAAGGTTGTTGCATGTCTTGATTTTTGCAGCTATCTTGCTTAGGTGGCTTTTGTATGATAGTATTCGGTTGAGGGTCACACCTAAGTGAGCTCCATGCAGGCTCATGAGTCCAGCCATATGGAGCTTACTGCAGGATTGGGACTCCAAGTTGAAGTAACTTTAAACATTGTTACAGCTAAATCAGTTTCAAATATGGTTTGGCAATTAACACAGGCAAAACTATGCAGAGTAATAATGACTATGTCTAGATTTGATTTTTCCACCATGTCTGAGAACAGGTATCAGAGAGTATTACCCTCAACCAAAGTTGAACTTGATTAAACCTCTCCATGCACATGGAACAAATGAGTTCAGCACCATGGCATATTGGCCACTTATCGTTGAACAGAGTCTAAAATGCAGGCAATTGCAATTAGTATTCCAAAATTTGCTACGGGAGGATGCCTGGAACCCACCCATATCCTTATTAAGATATGCTTGCTACGCTACACATTCCTACTTTTTTTTTTCTTTAATGAGGGGCTTTCAGTGTTCAAACTTCTTTACTAATGTAACCTTTTATTATCCCCATTTTAAAGATGGGCTAACTGCTGCACAGAAAAGTTAACTGACTTGCTTAAGTCCATACAGTGGCAGAGTATAGAATAGAAGTATAGAATAAAGCCCAGGTCTCTTGACTCCCAGCCTTATATCAGTCCACTAGACTGACTAGACCAGGGGTGGGCAAACTACAGCCCACAGTCCGGATCTGGGTCCCCAACCCCCCCCTGGCCCTGCATGCAATTTCCCCACCCAGATGTGGCCCTCAGGCCAAAAAGTTTGCCCACCCTTGGACTAGGCCATAGCTTCCTAACTACTATTAACTCTCCTTTAGTCTTTGACACATCCCCTCCATGTTATTGACATGTCTACATGCCCAACAGAATTTCAGTTATGTGATTATTACAAGAATTTCAAATTCCAGGGTAGATGGGACCTTAACCATGTACTGTAATACCAGGTTACAGAATCAGATTAAAATCCCATCTGCACTACAGATTGGAATAGTTATAATCAGGTTTCCTGACTCAGAATTGTAGTGTACACAGGGCCTGTTTCCTCAAATCACTCTCTAACCTCTCAGTCACTCTGTTTTGATTCAGTAACTATTGAATAATCTGTAATTAATACAACTGAATGAATATTTCAGTGACTAAACTCACTTCTTTGACTATGGTCAATATAAATCCCCATTTATTTGAGGGGGAAACTCATTACCATGGGCTGTGCAAACACATGAAGAAAAACGATAGGTCAAAGTCTGGCTCTTCACTCTATCCCTCAGCCAGGGAAAACTGAACTATTATATATGCTTATGTTAATTAACCTTTTTTGTACTTCTGTACAGTTTTGATACTAGATTTGTTCTGAACAAGTGCTTTCACCCTTACTGCTCATTACCTCTATTTTAATTGTTCCCTCTTTTGAAGTCAGTTTTGAATTTTGACCTCTCCATTGTGCTTGACAATTCACTGAGCAGAAAAATTAAATTTAACTAAGTTCTGGAAAGAGAAACTAGTTACTGATAGAAAAAACTGTTACTGCGATATAAATGTCCTACTACCAACAAGGGAGATCTAGGAAAATTACAGGCCAAGAAATGGACTAAGTTTGTTGTTAAAGTCTTCTTTACTGTCCTTTTTAATTATAAAAACCCCATTAACCCGTATTCCTTAAATTGCTTTTTAAATTAACTACACTTACATCTAGTTTAAAGCTATCAGTAACAAAGAGCAAGGATCAATTATTCTCAGTCAACGCAGGCAAAATCATAGGCTAAGTGTAGCGCTGTCAACTTGCTCTCATTTGAAGAGGTGACACTGCAACTTCCTGAGTTCTACCACCACCGTCTAAACCAGCCCTCTGCGTTTAAGGGGTGAACACAGAGAACTGGAGCGAAAAAAAGGAGAGAGGAAGCTAGGTTGGGGGGAAAGGTTTTGCAGAAAGAAGTTCTAAAAACCTGCCTGGCGCGCGACCCCTCGGTGAAGACGAGGTGCGAGCTGTGCGCGATGCCACGACTAGAGGAAACCGCGCTGAGAAACAGAAAGCCGAGATGCTGCATCCCACTCTCGAGCCTGCAGTTGCTTTGTGCGCCGCTGAACTGGCCCGCCAGTGCACTGCGGTGTCTTTTGGGAGACAAAAGCTCTCCTGCCTTCTCCTTGGGCAGCTCCGAGCAGGGGAGCTGCAGGGGCTGCCTCTGGAGCGAGCCCCTTTCCACACGGTAGCGGAGGAGGGAGCTGGTCACCGCGCACACAGCAGGGAGCTCGGCAGCCCACTCAGGCGCCCGCGTGCCAACATGGCCGGGGCGCGCCAGGAACACGCCTTCGGCGCGGGGAGGTGAAGAGACGCGCCCCGAGGACAAGTTGCCTGTTGCTTGATGGGACCAAGCGGCAGCCGCCGTGGGTCATTTCCCCACCCCCCCGCAATAACCCGCCGTGCACACTTCACCTCCGCCCGCAAGCGAAAACCACGGGCAGAGATGGGGCCTGCCAGCCTAGGCCGAGCCGCCCTGGCAGCAGCGGCGCTTGGGGACGCAGCCCCGGGCAGGGAACAAGGGGCTAGGCTCAGCCAGCGGCGCTGAGAATTGGCTTTACAGGAAGGGCGGGGGAGGGCGCGAGCGGTTCAGCTTCTGCCACACAGACGTATTTCAAATCTTAACGGCTGCTGCTCTACGGCCAGTCTTTGAATGAGGAAGCAGACTAGGAGCAGGGCCTACCGCTGCGCTGGGCCGCCTCCCGCCCCCTCCTCACGGGGACTGAGGAGGAGGAGAACGCAGTTACCAACCTCGCCCCGCCCCTATTCAATTTGGAGTGTGGGGGAGGAGCAGACTCATAAACTTCTACAGCGGCCCTCAAGGCCCGCCGCCAGCCCTGCTCGCGCGGTGCATTTCGGGAGCTGTAGTTTTTCACCCCTCCCCGCCCTTGCCTACGCTGCAATGATAGAAACTACAGCTCCCATGAGCCCCCTGAGGCGGGAGCCCGCATGCGCATTGCGGAGCGGTGCCGCAAGCTGGGCGCCGCTGTTGTTACATAGGAAACAGCTGAAAAGTCCCCACATGACAGTGGGGGAAGGAGGAAGCGGGGTGACCCGGGCGATGGACGTGGCTTTTACAGAGTGAGGCGCTTGGCCGCCACAGGGAATCCCCCAGCAGCCTCGCTTCCCGACTCGAGTAGAAGGGGGCCGAGCGGGGATCTCGCTGCGCCCCTTGAAGGAGCCCTGGTTTGCCCTTGGGAGAGGGGTTGTGCCCCCTGTTGTAGGGGCTCTGTCTGCCGGGGGGCGGAGGTGACCCTTAAGGGGAGGATCGTGCCCCCTGCAGGGGACGCTGCCTCTCTCAGGGGCGGCTGCTGATGGGGCAGGTTTAAATCCCTCCCTTGCAGCCAAGCGCATAGACAGCGGGGAAGTTTGATTCAGTCCGGGCGGCAGGGACGGATTCTGCTCCTCTGCCGGACAAAGGGGCGGCGCAGGCGGGCGAGGAGCCCGGGCGGGTCGGTAGCTTCCTCTGCCGGGATCGGGACGCTGCTGGAGCAATGAACGGGTTCGCCCCGGAGGAGGTGACCCAGAGGGGGGGGGATGCCGCCACCACCACCGTCGTTGCTGCTGTTGTGGCCAATGCAGCCGCCACCGTGGAGGTGCCGGCGCTGGGATTAGGTCCCGGCGCTGCCGCAGGTACCACCGCCGGTTCTGCGGGCCCCCCCGGTGCTGCCGGCCCTGGGGCTGGGCAGCTGTGCTGCCTGCGCGAGGAAGGTGAGAGGTGCAGCCGGGCCGCCGGCAACGCCAGCTTCAGCAAGAGGATCCAGAAGAGCATCTCACAGAAGAAGGTGAAGATCGAGCTGGACAAGAGCGTAAGTGACGTGAAACCCCCTCCCCAAGCCCGCTGCGCGCCTCTGGGGCAGAGGAGGATGCCCGGGGGCGAGCGTGGGGGGCAGTCAGGGCCGGCCGGTGAGTGAGTCCCCTCTCTCCCTGCAGTGCGCTCTCATCGTGGCAGGTGGTCACGGCTAGTCCTGCGGGGTCACTGGCCCCGAGCGCCCCCAAGGCAAGGAGACCCGGGGCTGGTGGGGCTACCGGGGAAGCGCCTTGGGGCTTTTGTTGTCGCTATTCACGGGACAATGTGTCTGAGGCGCCGCGTTGCAGCTCTCCGCGCAGGACGCACTGCACAATCGCTCCCCGCAGCCTTACTCCGGCCTCAAGAGTCGCCCCCACAAAGGCTTAAACTACTTCCCCCTTCCCCGCCCCAGCGACTGTGAGACTTGAGGCAGCAGCTTCTATGTTAAACTGTGCTGGGCTTTGCCCTTGGTACGGTCGGCTGACGCTGGAAGAGTGAGTGAAGCTTCAACTGCTTCTGCTCAGTGTGATGGGGGGAAAGGCTGCTGCTCTTTCTTCCTCCTCCCTTCTTCTCCCTCCGGAAAAGTCAGGGTGGCATTCCAGAGGGAGGCTGTTTGTCCGGGTGCCCCTCGACTGCAGGGAAACCGAGGGGCTGCACGTCCCCTCCGCCACCCTTCCAGAGCAGGGACTCTCTACATGTTTGTGTGGCTGACTCAAGTGAGGGCAGCAGACTTGGCCGCTCCGCCGCGTGTTGTACTGCTGCGCGTCTCTCTTTGCCACGGTGTCTTCCGCTTGGCAGCCATCAGGCTTTTCGTAGTGCTCCTCTGTCTGTACAAGAAATCGCCACAAGCTTGTGTCACTGCGCAGGCAGGACGAGCCCTTGTCTCCCTTCCCCAGTCTGCTGAGAAAGAAACACCCTTTGGTAGCAGATACATTTCTAAGATTCGGAGCAGTGTTAATCTGCAGAGCAAATGTCTGCCGGCTTCCTTCCCTAATGAATACTTGTTTCTTCAGAAGAGAAATTCACGAGTATTTGGCGATTGATATTTAATTGACACAGCAGAAGTGTTAGGGGATGCTGGCCCAAAGAGGGGCTTCTAATATGCTTGTTACAGTTACCACCTTCAAGAGATTGTGTAAACTCCTGTTGTTTGGGAAAAATGATTGCCAATTTCTATTTGTGCTTCTGTTGAGGGTTGTGAGCTTTCTCTTTGAATCATGGTTTATGAGAGCGCTCTTGTGAGGTAAACTTAAGCGAACTCTAAATGGGCAAAGAAAACTCTTTTTGCATTAACAAAAGGAAAAGCTTAGGACTCCAATGTTTCAGTTTATACGTTTAAAGAAACTTCATTTAGGCCTCCAATTTGTTTTTATCATCCCAAATTTAACTTTCTACGTGCTTGATTTCCACCCCCACCCTGTGCACCCACAGCTCCAGTTGAAGCCAGTGGGAGCTACTGGTGCATAGTAGCCCTCTGTGTTTATATACATTTCCTCTATAAAATAACTTCTTGCCAGATTTTTTTCCGGTTTTTAGGCACCTAACTACTGGCCCTTCATCTCAAAATGAGCTGATTCCTAGAAAAAGGACATTTTTAAAAAATTGATGTGTATGTACTTTATTTACAATGACTTTTCATGGATGGTGGAAGTAAAACCTAGGAAGAGAGCTGTGAAGTGAGACAGCTGAAGTCTTGCTTTTTTGTCCATTTAACAGAACTTCAAAGTAATTTTCATACCCCATTCCCTGCATTCTGATGAGTAACCTAAGAGGGCTGTACTTGGCTTTCTCTACAGCCTGTTAATACTAATTTTGAATTGGCTCACTGCAGCAGTACAGTGATACAAGGGGTTTTCTAGGCCAAATGGGATGCAGTAAGTTATAGCATCCCAACTTTTGTCTTGTGGGTTCTGGTAGAAACAGAATTCTTAAACTCATAGTTAATGTTACGAAAACCTCTTGATGGATATACTTCAGGGTAAATTACTGCAGCATGTAGTTTGCAGTATCATGTATTTCCTGGATGTTAGACTAGTGTGGATTTGTGTTTAAAACATGCATTGCTACTTTTTTAGGCAAGACATCTTTATATTTGTGACTTCCACAAAAACTTAATTCAGAGTGTGCGAAACAGAAGAAAGAGAAAAGGCAGTGATGATGATGGTGACTCACCAGTGCAAGACATCGACACTCCAGAGGTAGCTGAATAGTTGTCCTGGCTATTGTCATGTAAAGCTTGTTCTTAATTGCTACCAAGTCTGTGTTACTGCAATTTTTTCCAATGTTAATTTGTTCAAGGGGTGGGAGAGCTCCTGTTTCACTCACTTCATTAATATGTTTCATTTTAATGTTTCTTTATCAATTGTGATATAATTATATATTCAAAGATATTAACATATATAATTTAATTGATCGATACATTTTCATTTTGTTTTACACACAGTATTTTTCCCAGAAAGGAAAGTTGGAGTTATATACCAATTTTAACTTTGATAAAGGTTCCTCCTTCATGACATTTTCTCCACAGATTCCCAGTGGGGGAGGCATGCGCTTACCCATGCAGTAGCAGAACCATTTTTGAGTAGGAATTGGTTGTTAGAGTGCACACTTAATTCACATGATTCCTAACATTTCATAGACTGAGAGTATAAACACCTCAACTGTCTCCCAATGCCTCTCTCTGTTCTGCCAGAAGGGTCACAGAGCAATCCTTTCAATTCCTCCATCATATTAGCATTACATAATTAGTAGTTCTAGTAGGGTGTAGTGAACTTGAAAGACATAGTTCAATATTTGTAGTTTTTTAGCTTTTGTATCAGTTTTTGGTAGGGGCTGCATTGCAGGAGATGGCAGATTAATGTAGGAAAATGGAGTTTAAAAGGTGTTCATCTTGACCTGCTGTGTTCTTCATTTCAGATGGGCATTACCTGGGAAAGGGCACTCAGCTGGAGGCTGTGATGCCTGTGAGATTTTCTCCAAAAGGCCCCCAAAAGCACTTTACTTCAGAACTTGCTCCTTCAAGTGTTGTTGGCAATCCATATGTCCATACTGCAATTAAACCCCTGTGGCTGGCCCTGACTTAAACAGGGCTGTTTAATTGCCATGTAGACATTCAGGCTCAGGGGAGAGTCCCAGAGGCCAGGATCCAGCCCAGGCCCCAACATCTGTACTGCAATTAAACAGCCCATAGCCCGAGCCCCACAACCGCAAGTGAGCTGACGTGGTTCATCCGCAGGTATTTAATAGCAGTGTAGACATACCCAAAGTGTCTCCAGGCATTAGTAGTATGGCCACTAAATTTCCCTTAGTGCAAAAATCTTAGACTGGAAGAGGGCAGCTCCCTTTTGAAGGCTCTGATGGAGGGGCTGTCAGTCGTCTCAGAATAGTCATTTTTGCTGCGTCCTGTTTCTCTTCCTTGTAAGATCCATTCATCAGTTAATAGAAGATTTTATCTAAAATTACTTTTCTATCCACACTCCTGTACCACATTGATGACACCACAGTGCTTTTGGAACCATAGTTTCTGAGTATATCAATGCTGGGTTTTTTGTTTTGTTTTTTTTCCTGTGGGATCTGCATTTCTTGGTGCAACTGATCTCATGCTATGGATTTCTCTGGATCATAAAAAGCAAGTCACTTGCCAGACTGCTGCAGCTGCACTTCCAGAAGAAGCCTAGCTCAGGAACACATTTGAAGAGCCTCAGTTGTCAAGTCTTGATAACACCAGAGTTTCTTACCCAGGTTTTCCTCCATATGGGTATCATGCATCTTAGATGTGTGTGGCTGTATGTTCTTCCACTTGTTGCATCAGTGGCCTCTTGAATATGAGATCAAGGTCTCCTTCGAAGAAGCGGAAGGGTCCTCCAAGGATGCCTTGGCCTCTATCTGAGTTCCCAGGATCAGTAGTTCTTTGAAGTGGCTTCTGCACATTCTCACTGATGGAAAAGGTATCCCCAGCACTGCTAACTTCTGGAATCTTATGGAAAGCTTAATCTGCCTTTCTACTCTGATGGAGTAAAGGCTTCTCAAATCAAATACTGGTTTGAGGAACGGGACTCCCCTAGACAAATCAGATGTAACTAAGGCCCTACCAAATTCATGGTCCATTTTGGTCAATTTCATGGTCATAGGTTATTAAAAATTGTAAATTTCATTATTTCAGATATTTAAATCTGAAATTTCATGGTGTTGTAATTGTAGGGGTCCTGATCCAAAAAGGAGTTGTGGGGGAGTCACAAGGTTATTGTAGGGGGGGAATTGTGGTACTACTGCCCTTCTGCACTGCTGCTGGCAACGACTGCCTTCAGAGCTGGGCAGCTGGAGAGCAGCAGCTGCTGGCCGGAAGCCCAGCTCTGAAGGCAGAGCCACCGCCAGCAGCACTGCAGAAGCAGGGATGGCATGGTACGGTATTGCAGCCCTTACTTCTGCACTGCTGCCTGCAGAGCTGGGCATTCGGCCAATAGCTGCTGCTCTCCGGCCGCCCAGCTCTGAAGGCAGCACAGCAGTAAGGGTGGTAATACTGTGACCCCCCCCCCCAAATAATCTTGTGACCCCTTTGCAACTCCCTTTTGGGTCAGGACCCCCAGTTTGAGAAACGCTGGTCTCCCCTGTGAAATCTGTATAGTATAGGGTAAAAGCACACAAGACCAGATTTCACATGGGGAGACCAGATTTCATGGTCCATGATGCGTTTTTCATGGCCGTGAATTTGGTAAGGCCCTAGATATAACACATAGGCATCTGATTCTGGGATGACAGGGCAAATGACACACCTCTTCACCATTCTTTGGTTATGGAGGAGCTATGGGGCTGGCACCATTCCAAGCTTGGCCAGGTTTCCAAGTGTGCAGTAGCTCACCGACTTAGCCTAAAAACTATCATTAAGGTTGCTTCATAGTATTAAGTTAATCCCTTCTCAATTCTCAGGACATCAAGATGTTGGTTTTGGGAGGGCAGTGTTGCAATCACTGTTCACCTGGCAGGTCTTCTCAGTCAAACCATCTTCTCGGGGATGTCACTGCTAGTTCATCTCCTACAGTGGGGCTGTAGGGTGATCAAATCAGGAAAGAGGAAAAAGGGGTTTCTTAATAGTGATGTTTGTTCTCCAGATGGTGCCCTTAAATAAACCTTTTGGGAACAGAGAAACTGGGGGAGCACTGGGCTGAGATGTGGGTATTTATATCCTATATTATGAAATGTAGGACTTAAGGAGATTCTAACCCCTGATGGACAGTAGTTCTGTGGGACTCTGGCTATGCGCATAACTCCTACATTGTGGCTGTGTAGAGGCAAGATACTTCACCTTTTAAATCATAAGTACATTACAATTAATAACAAATTAATCCTCTCTTTAGCCCAGCTAAAGATACATGCTAACTTTAATGATCTTTTTCTTCCTTTCTAGGTTGACTTATATCAGTTACAAGTAAACACACTTCGAAGGTACAAAAGACACTTCAAGTTACAGACCAGACCAGGACTTAACAAAGCACAGCTTGTTGAAGTATGTATGAATGTCTGTTCTGTAGCTGACAATGTAATTTACTGTTACTTGTGGCTCTGGAAAATGTGATCATTACCAACATATTAGCATAAGTAACATATATTCTTGTCTTTAGTCAACTTATAAATGTTATCTATCATTGCCATAGTTAATATACCACTGCATTATAATTAGATTGTATCCTGCTCCACAAACTCTTCTCTTTGCATAAAGAGAACATGTGGATTGGATTTTCTGAAAATAAAATGAAGTTACTTATCTAATTTCTCCTCCATGATCTGGTCTTTCTGTCCCCAATTCCTGAGCCAAGAGCACTCTAGTTAAGAAAGAAAGTCAAAAGTAAAAGCTCAGGTTAGAGGAAGGAAGTCGGGTTTATACGTATATACTCTGAAAGAATCCCGAAGTAGTTTATAGAATCGCAACATTGCTATTCAGAAACATGTAGCTTAAGACAAACAATGGGCCTAAATCTACACTCAGTTACCTCACTGCAAAACTATAGGCTTCAATGACACTGCTGCTTTGCAGCTAAAGGCAGAATTAAGTTATTCTGTTATTTTTGCAGTAAAGTTCTAGTATAGTTTAAAAGTACAATTAATAGAAATATGGGTACAAGTAATAGTAACAATGAGAGATCTGGGCATCCGATTTCATGTCTCTTCTTATAAGTGCGGAAACTTGCAAAACTAAGAGCCACACAAATACTGAAATATCTGTAAGCACAACAGAATGCTAGCATGTTTGCAAATTTTGGTCTTCTGAAAATATAATTTACTTGGTAAGAGATCAGTATTCTAGTCAAAACAAATAGTTTAAAATGTGGCACAGCCTTTACTTTAGGGGAAAAAAAGGGACTCCATTTTGCATTGCAAACACACAGATCTGGAATGTTAATTTAAATACTACTTCTGAAAATTGATGGTCCTCTGTTAAAATGCTATCTGAATCTTCATTGTGTTGTCTAGTTTTATGAAATGTTATGGTGAATTGCATTTGTGTGTAAGCATTTTGTAGATCTCTCCACTAATCAGTGTGGATTAAAGCCAAAATTCGTAAATGTATGCAAGAGGCTGGTCTGTAAAAGAACAGTATGTTGCCAACACTTTTGCAACTGCAAGTATGAGTTTAAAATTACTGTATATTATTCTCTTTGTATGCGACTTAAGACAAGGTTTGAGCACTTATTAAATTGGCAGAAATGTGACTTGAAATAAGCCACAAATGGCTTTTTCAAAATAAAAATGGAAACTTAAGAGTGTGTGCTGATTTAGTTGCATATTATAAAATACTTTATAAAGGAAGAATAAAACTGTAGGCTACTATAAAATTCTGGCTAGTCTACAACCAGCTTGTACTGTTCATTTTTGCCAGACTTCTGGGTAGAACAGTGGGGGCTACAACTAGCTTTTGTTGCTTTTCCAGTGGCCATGAAGTGCCAGATTCAATGTTTTAGAGCTACCTTCTTTCCAGAGGTGTCATCTGTGACCTCCCCAGTTGATCACCGTTTTATAGCAAACTTGGTTCTTGGGAATGATGCCAGGAAATTCTGAGCATGTTCATTGAGTCACCAGATGTCCTAATGCAGTATAGATGCTTTAGTCAGTCAGTTAGAATTGAACTTTTAAAGGTACACTGTCACTTAAAAAACATCACCTTTCCAAATGGTTAATTTACTGTCTTCACAAGTAACTGTTGAGATTACTGTAACTAAAAGAGATTGAGAGGGATTTTTTTGGTTTACTTTGTGCCTTTCACTAAACTTTGTGTAGTCATTTTCTCCTCTTCCTCCCCAGCATGTATGGGCATTTTGCACAGCAACAAGGGAGAGAGTGATATTACAAATCCACAGTAACTGGTAGGGGGAATTGTTTCAGGTACTACCCCTGCTCCCTACTTAGATACATCTTGTAACCAACAGTCTTATTTTCATAAAGGGTAAAAAAAAATTCAAAAGCAGTTAAGTGAGGTAGGAGCCTTTTAGAAAGATTTGACCAGTTTAAAGGGCCGTGACCAAAGCTGAACTTCACCCTTGCTGACTGCTCAGTTATTACATGTCTTCCTCTTTATAATCAGGTTAAAAAACCCAGGGACAAGTTCTTCTACCCCTCCAAAAATGATCAAATGCAGGGCCTTTCCAATATAATAATGATCCGGGACTTCCCATTTCTATTATATTCTACACTCAAGCACTGTACACACTCCTAAGTACCTTTTGTGGACTCTTACCTCTCTTCTGAAAGGTCAGCTTTGTGTAGCTGAGAAAGCCATGGATTTCACTGGATTGGGTCCATCTACTGCAATTCACACTTTAGAGTATTGAAATGATACACTGTCTAATCCTTGTGTGATCCAGACTGTTGGATGGAGGCAAATATCTTCACCCCTGCTAGTATTGATTTGTTTGATCAAATCTTTAAAAAAGGAATAGATGTCAAGTTTGTGTTTAATTCTGAATTTTAGTTCCATTATCTAGGAAATGTGAACTTGTTGATTTGTATGTAACCAAATGGCTATTTAATTTCCTTAAACTTTCTCTTTATAGATAATTGGTTGCCATTTTAGGACTATTCCAGTGAATGAAAAGGATACCTTAACATATTTCATCTACTCCGTGAAGAATGACAAGAACAAACCAGATCTAAAGATGGACAGTGGTGTTCACTAGGATGGAAAAAATGGGACTAATACTCAAGTTGCAGATCTAAAGACTGTTTTTGACATGCAGATGCTTTCTTTGTAACTTTTTTCAGAGAACTTCTCTGATTTTATTTTTCATGGTCTTGCTGACTCTCTGAAAAACAACCTCCTCTAAAATGAGATTTCCACAGCAAAAGTATTTTAAATAAATATTATTGATACTGTTGCTCAAGTGTTCATGTGTGTTTGTAATTTATTTAGTGAGTTATTTGTACCTAATAATAGTTTGGGTTTTGCCTACATATATTTAAAGTTATTAAAAATATTCATTGTATTTTTTTAATTATAGAAGTATGCTAAAGATTAGAGTGTGAAATGTGTTTTGAAATCATCACACTACAACATGGTTTTATATAGTATAAAATTTAGCTCTGATAAATTCTAAACATAGTTGCTCCAAATTGAAGGGCCATAATAGAATTGCTCTGGGCTTCCTGAATAGCAGTGACTCTTGTAGTTGTTATAAATCATAAGTATAAATGGCTGCACTTGTATTTTCTTTTAGAATTCTGGTATGCAAAGATCTTAACAGAGTTTTTTTGAGATCTCTTGTTTCCTCACTTCTGGGATATGCACTGCTAAGCCTCAGGACCATCATGCTACTATAAAAAAGATGGTAGCTATTTAGTGCTCAGATATCCACATGAAGATGGAAAGACTATCACCATTTATTATGGAAAACTTCTGTTGCTTTGAACAATGATTCTCTATTGATCTACATATGCTGCTACCTGGAAATTGCATTGGAGAAAGGACGGCTGCGGAACTCATGCTCTGTTTCAATATTGTTTAATAAACATGCTGTGTTTTGCTCAGGTGAAGTCTGCATTAACTCACAGCTGGAAAATGCATACAGATCATTAATTTAAAGAATTTTTACCTTTACCTATAGCACTTGCATCTAAATGTATATATTTTAGTAAAGTTTACAACATGCCGTGTGACAGCTATGATACAACACAAAACCTCCTGTAGTTCCACTGAACCCTTACCAGAACAATGAAATTCTGGATGATGTGCAATTTTCTGCTTTGTCTTCTGAGCTGTGAGGAGAAACAAGTGAGATGGCATCTTAAAACTAAGAATGCAGCATCTCTCTATGTTCAGTGAGGCATGATTGATATAAAACTCTGAACATTACTTCAATGATGAGCTACCTTCACTTTAAGAAAAATGTGTGAAAGTAATATTATCGTTGTTTACCCTGTCCCACATGCTGCTAGATGTGATGGTTTATCAGGTTCTCGCTGTCCTCTAAAACTTGCTTTTATTGCTGTGTGGTTCTTTGGTTTCTCCTTACCTGTAGCCCTTCATTGATGGAAATAATCCCCATGCTCAAACTGCCTGTTTTCCCAGTAATTATCAGTGACGGAATTTCTTTTGCATTTGCAATGTCCCATACATTTTCACACTCTCTTGATCAAACTTCAGCCAGCACTGTACAACCAGACATAGCTATTTGCCTGAATTCAATCGTGGACCTTCTCTTCTAATGTGTGCATTGATTGCATTGTAATGTTTGTAAAGTGCTTTGAAAACGAAGTATTACGTTAAGTGGCACCATCCTACTGATGGAAATAGAGTAAGTTAAATTCAGTAAGATAGTAAGTAGGATGCCCAAAATGTGGATGTATTTAAGCTTCTATTGCAGGGGTTCTCAAACTGGGGATCAAGGGGTTGCGAGGTTATTACATGGGGGGTTGTGAGTTGTCAGCCTCCACCCCAAACCCCGCTTTGCCTCCAGCATTTATAATGGTGTTAAATATATAAAAAAAAATAGTTTTAATGTATAGGGGGTCGCACTCAGAGGCTTGCTATGTGAAAGGGGTCACCACTACAAAAGTCTGAGAAACCCTGTTCTATTGCATCTTAATCATGTTACACACGACAAGGTTTGAAATATCTTCTTTGGTACTTGACAGGGGTGAGTGGAAACTTTCCTTGGTGCAAGAGGGAGCCAAAAGCCTAAGTTTTGACAGAAGCTAAACTTCCAGGCTTAAGCTTCTGTTCTTAAAAAATAAAACATTGTTTCTGGCTCTTAATACTGTGGCAATTATAACCTCCTGCATGAGAGAGGATGTGGTGCTGTCTTTTTGAATCTGCAGCTTGCAGAGCCTTCCCCAACCAGCAGTAGAAGAAGGAATTTGGTGAATTTTACAGAAGTGGTAAATTTTACTGCCACATTCAGAATGCTGTATGAAGATGTGACAGTGACAATTGTCAGTTTTGCTGCTACTGCTTTGGAAAGTTGTGAGCAGCAGAGGCAAGCATAGTGTAATTCAGGTAGAACCTGGAAGAGAAAGGAGAGATCTTGTCTCTCCACACCTTGCTGATAGATGGCAGGACAGGGCTTCAAGCTTTTCAGCCATCCCTAGGTTTCAGCAGGTCTCATTTGCATCTGCTGAGATTCTTAACGGTTTGTTGTCTCTGAACTCTGCTCAGGGCTTCTCTTTTTTGCATAGTTTGATCAGGCGCTGGGAAAACCAGTGAATGAGGGACAGGTAAACTGAGACTTTCTAAAAAAAAATTGCATCTGTCCTGCAGCTGGTCATTGTACAACTATTTGGTGCAAGTCACTTAATATGCATAATTGATTAATTGAATACACATTTATTATCATTTGCATATAGTCCAGCAAACACTGACCCACTAGGTACAAGATTACCAACATACAAGAATACAATCATCCAACCATTATAGATGGCAAAGTTTCTGAACATATTTTGTATTTGATACAAAGTTGTCATGTAAGTGAAGTATGGTTGTCTATTAGCATTAAAAAATTCGCTATTGCCTATGTAATTTTCATAAAATGACTACTGCAGAAAGTGTCATTGAAAAAGAATAGCACAAGAGAACTATATTAAAGTTTTATATTTTGCACTAGATATTTTCACACTTTTCCATATGATTAACTTGGTAGCTCTAGGAATTACCATATGTTAATGAAAATAAATGTTTAATACTTATCGCAAACAGCTTTCATTAAACTAGCATAGGTGTACATGCTTAGAAGGCTAGTCTCTGTGTCTAATTACATACCTGTCTTTTCCTAAAGGCCTATATTAAAGATAGGGAACTAGCATTTTAAGATACTACTGCGATGTGCTATAGTTCAAATGAGACCTGATTCAGGGCCCATTGCCTTCCAAAGATTTTTGGATCAGGCTCATCAACAGAAGCTGTTTTATTGAATATATACATTATAGCAGCTGTGTACTAAACACAAAAAGTGCAAAGATGAGTTTAAATAAGGGCCCATTATGGATAACTGTATTTTGTGAATTTAGAGTCCAGTTGTGTTTCCATGAAAGCTAATGGGAGTCTTGCTATTGACCTCAAAAGGATTAACAATCTTTTTAGACCAAGATTTTCAAAAATAGATGTAAAAAGTTAGGGTCCTCAAACCTTATTTAGGCACCTAAATAAGTGACCAGATTTTCAAAAGTGCTGAACATAGAGTAGCTCCCACTGATTTCAGTTACTTTTTGTGAAAGTAATGAAGACTTATTGATATGAAACTTCAGTACAGTGAACTGCGACTAAAGGCCTCAATGGGTGTAAAATAGTGTAGTGAGGTGCTATACTGCCTTATAGCAGCTGAGAATTTGACCCTTAATCTGTGAGAGATGGAATGACACCACCAGATCTTTTATGAGACTGTCTGGGTTGGCAGTTCAGCACAGTGAATTAAAGAGGTTCTACTGCACCCCTCTTCTTAAATCCTTCTAATGAAAACAAATGTTGTTACTAAGTTGGAAAGGAGAGCTTTACCATTAAATCTTCAAAACATGGTTTCTTCTATATATAGACAGGGAAACATATACTACTTGGTACATTAAGGCTCTGCACTCTAGTGCTGTAGAAAGGAATAGATTTTCTGTGACAACATCGTTAATCTCCTGTTGTGACGTCCTGTGTGTGTCTTCTCACTGGGACACATGATGCTCATCATTGATTGTTGCAAGGGATCACGAAAGAGATCTTTGGTCCAAAGAAAATACCTCTGAAAGAAATTATCAGGTATTTCAGTTGTAATTTATGATAACCTTATCATAAGTTCTAAAATGAAACCCATCTACAACTGCTTTGCTGTTTTTGTGTATGTTTTAAAAAAAATAAAAATACAAACCTGAAGAAGTGCACACGCTTCAGTGTCAGTAGAAACTAAACTGCTGATGGGTGGAAATCCTAGCTCAACTAAAGTCAATGGCAAAACTCCCAGGCACCACAGTGGGGCTAGGATTTCACCCCAGTGGCATAATTTCAGTTTTAGTGAGATAAATTCTAAAAAAGATGCATAGGAAATGTGCACATATACAGTTAAGTGAGGCTTGTACTGAGCTCCAAGGTGGGGTCTTTTGTGGTATCTTTTGTATTGTAGTCTAGTAAAAGTTTTCTTTATCTAAGGTTTCAGAGTAGCAGCCGTGTTAGTCTGTATTTGCAAAAAGAAAAGGAGTACTAGTGGCACCTTAGAGACTAACCAATTTATTTCAGCATAAGCTTTCGTGAGCTACAGCATCCGATGAAGCGAGCTGTAGCTCACGAAAGCTTATGCTCAGATAAATTGGTTAGTCTCTAAGGTGCCACTAGTACTCCTTTTCTTTCTTTATCTAAGATTTTGAAGACTTATGGTGAGTCAGCAAGCAAATACTGTGCCTTATCTAGGTACCTGCAGTGATTTTGGAGAGAATGGAAAATATGAAAAGTTGCTCTTATTTATTTATGAAAGTTGCTGTTAAACCATGCCCCCTAGTTTAAAAGGAAGTAGGTTGCTGGCAGAGTGACTTTGGAATTCATTCCCACATAGCCTGATTTATTAACCCTTCAGGCATGCTGAAAAGCTCCTCTTTAGGACATTTCAGGAGAGGGTGAGTTGAGAAATACAGGTGATCAGTGCAGGGATCATCCAGGTTACTGTGGCATAGTAAGGCCAGCCTAATATGATTTTATTCTTTGTAGGTTTTAGTTATCCTAGAGCACGGGTTCTCAAACTGGGGGTCAGGACCCCTCAGGGGGTTGTGAGGTTATTACATGGGGGTCAGAAGCTGTCAGCCTCCACCCCAAAACCCGCTTTGCATCCAGCATTTATAATGGTGTAAAATATATAAAAACATGTTTTTAATTTATAAGGGGGGGGTTGCACTCAGAGGCTTGCTGTGTGAA